CACAGTGATTGCTGGACATGGGCACCAGCGACCCCCGTGACCCAAAATGGAATAAACGGGTAAAGATAATGGATGGATGGATGGATGGTTTTCCTAGTTTTGAACAAAGCTAGGGACTGGCATTGCAAAGGCTATAAGTCTTGTAGTGTACAGCTAATGATTTACAGTTGTCCCTACATAAATGAACAATAAATAAATACAAATCTATAATAAGCCACTTACACAAACATGCATTCATATAAAATTCATTCATTCATTCATTCAATCTTTATTTATACAGGTTAATCCCACTGAGCCACGACGACTCATTTACAAGAGGGACCTGTTCCAGACAGAACATATAAAGTACAGACAACAATAACAATCAACGTAACAATAAACTACAGTAAAAATGCAGTTAAAATAAGAGTACAGTAATCCCTCGCTACTTTGCGATTCATTTTTCACTAACTCGATCTATCGCGGTTTTTCAAAGTAAGCTTGGACATGACACACAATTGGCTGATTGATGGATGAGCCTCACGATCGGCATGGATGTTTTATATATGATAAAGTATTTAAAATGATTTAGCACCTGTGTGCAGCTTCCTCCTACAGCTGATCAGCTGATCTCCGTGCATAGCGGAGAAGTGGGCGTGGCCGAGAGTGCAGCCGAAGGGAGAGAGTTGAAATCATGACATTCTGTGCTCTTTTAGAGCGTTTAGAGTTTAGAAACATTGTTTAGAATATTTCAAGAGTGTGGGAAGGGTTTAAAATGCCTATATATATATATATATATATATATATATATATATATATATATATATATATATATATATAGTAATTACCCCTTAAAGAAAGCAAGGTGGACAACTTCAGTTCCTGTTGCCAGGTGTTCCAGGTTGCAGGAGCTGAGTAGGAAAAGGCCTTTTTGCCAAGTCCAGTCTGCACTGAGGGGACGCTGCAGGTAATGATGGCCATAGAGCTCATGCAGCACGCTGTAACTGCACTGACTGCGTGACAAGTGGGAGGAGATATAAGAAGGTAGCTGACCAAAAATACATTCATATTAAAAAATATCTAATTCTGGTTATTTTTCAACAAAGTCATAATAAAATATTTATTGAAAACAGCAATAAAGCTTTTACAAACCTTAAACCATGTTCATTAGTCTGTTTTTTCTTCTTCTATATTATGAAATTGTTGATTTTGTAATTACTTTGAAATCAGCACATAATAAATTGTAACAAGCTGCTGTTTCTGTTGTTTTTTTATTTATTTCAGGTATAAATGAATGACAATAAATGCTAAAATATACGGCATATGCCTACTTTGTAGTCAACATTATTGTGCAGTTGCTAAAGAACAATAGAGAACAGATGTTTAGGTTTATCTTATTGACTCTGATTCTGTTGTGATGGGACCAAACTTCATGTCACAACCAAGAACTTCTTATAAAGAAGGACGGAGACAAATAGACCCGACGTGAAACATTAAACGGACACACACCTCTCGTCTGTCAGTAGCACAGCTTACTGAGCGTCTCTGTCGAGGCTGTGTTTTTAATAAAAAAAGGCTTTGCCTTTTCAGCAGGAAATCCTCCATGATTAATCGGCCTTTAGGAGCTGTGGGGTGATCCAGTAGAAACTGTGGCAGAAGCATATTTCACAGAAGCTGTCATGACATTTGGTGGTTGTTTGGCTGTAACTGAACCTAGTGGCTCCCAGACTTTATAGCTTCTGAAACACAAAAACAGCAGCTGAGACTTGCAAAATAGCAAACTTCTAGTTTAAATCTAATAAAATATGTTGGGTTTTTTTGTAATAGTAATGAATAAATAGATAATAAAACAAGCAGTTTGCATTTAAAGCACAACCTTGAAAGTATTCAGCACTATAAATGTACGCTCTATGTCTGTAATAACCTCTGACAGGAAACCGTCCACGACTAAAACCACACCTACGATCAATAATAATTATTGAAAAGCTGGTCCAGATCTGCCTGTCTTCATCTCAAAGACATACTCCAGTAGTTTAAATCTGAAATACTGGGGTCACTGCCAAGATGGGTACAATAAAATAATGTGTGCAGTCAACAACGCAGTTTGCAAACCCTGTTCAAACTGTGGCCTAAAGGCTTATTGGTCACAAACACTCAGAGTTCAGTGAGACTACGAGGTAAAATTAGATCTTTTTCCCACAATCTTGAGTCACCAACTTGTCTCTAATATTCACAACCCAACAAGACAATTACTAATTATTGTTGGCATTTTGTTTACCGTTTAGTTTCTGTGGGTATCATTTGGCAAACAGTAAACCAGAGCGATCTGAAGGACAAGAGGGAGATTCTTTTAGTGCAAATACATTTAAAATGCATTACAAAATTTAAATAGAGGTTGTCCTGATGAAAAAAAAAATGTTTAAAGGGAGGCAGTTCCTTTTTATTTTAATTAGATTGTTAGAATGGAGTTTTTTGGAATGATGTGTTTTTTTTACGTGTAGCTCGGATTAAGTAACGTATTGTGTGCGTGTGTGTAGGCTGCTTTG